GGGGGAGACCCCGAGCCACTGCAGCGCGCGAAACAGCTGATTGCACGCCGCTGCTCCCCCTCCCTCCCAGGCTTGAGAGCCTGGGAGGGAGGGGGAGACCCCGAGCCGCTGCAGCGCGCGAATCAGCTGTTTCGCGTGCCATGGCAGCAGCAGCAGAGGTGAGCTAGGGCAGCGGGGGCACATTTTTAGGGGCGGCATTCTGGCGCCGGCCATGTCGCCCCTAAAAATGTGCCGCCCCAAGCACCAGCTTGTTTTGCTGGTGCCTAGAGCCGGCCCTGGTGACAAAATAGGTAAATGGGTGATTATGTCAAGGGGTGAGGCCAGAGTAGGATGACCAGATGTTCTGATTTTATAGGGACAGTCCTGATATTTGGGGCTTTTTCTTATATAGGCACTTATTAACCTAAACCCCATCCCAATTTTTCTCATTTGCTATCTGGTCACCGTAGGCCAGAGGTTGTCAATAGGTGAACTCCAGGCCACATCTGGACCACCAAATGCTTTTGTATGCATCGCAAAATCTTTTTATTTACTTATTATTATCATTATTGTTACTGTGGTGTGAAAAATATTTCTCTGAAGTCTGGACCTTGACCAAGAAATTTTGACCCTGACAAAAAATAATTGACTACTCCTGGGTGGCAATGATGCAGCTCCATTATGTTCATCCTTTGTTGTGCTTGTGCATCCCTGGGCAGGTTTCTCTTTCTAAGCAGGCAATGCAATTATAGCAACCATTGCTAAAAAATCAGCAAAGCCTGAGGTTTTATTAAAACCATATGATCAAATATCTGGACACATATCCAACAAGACACTTGTGCATTTAGAATGGGACTACTCACATGCTTAAAGGTAGATATATACTGAAGTTCCTTGAGTTAGGGTTTTGGTCAGACATGTACTGGCCATAAGGAGGAGGAGGGGAGAAGAAGCAGCCTTAATACTGTGAGGTATCAGAAGGGAGCAGAGTCTCCTTCCACTATCTATGCTAGGACATCACTAGAACTAGACATGCTGAAGAGGGAGAAACAGGACCTGAGCCAGCCTGGCTGAAGCTACAGTAGGGAGGAAATGGCATCTCTTCCTGACATAATGGGCTTTGAATAGATACATAAATAATTAACTTGCCATCATGCCCAGGTTAGCATGGCAGCTGGCTCCTCCTCCTAGTGCTTGAAGGAAATTCTACTTTAATCTTACGTAATGGTGTGTGTGGGAACCTCTATGACTATGTCTTTGCTGCAAAAAATTGTTTTTTACATTGAGATAGCTAATTTGCTGTGAAATCCTTATGGCGACACGGCACAGCTAATTTTAATTCATTGGGTCAGAGAGAGGCTAACTCTAACTTGGTGCTAGTGCACTTCCCTGGGATGTTGGCGACATAGGGACTTAAACCTGACTCCTGCACATGAGTAAAAGGTGAGTGCCCTAGCAACCATCAGGCTATAGGCTATTCTGGGGTCTCTTATTTTCTCTTCCCCAGACTAGGAAAATGTTTTGAAATTTCAAAAATGTTCGTAAGATGGGAAAACTATTTCTCGCCTGTCTCTAGACGCCATTTCCAGTGTACAAATCCTGAGCTATCCAGTCACCCTAAAAATACTACCTTGTAATAGTCTAGTCCTACTTCTTCCCCAACACCCTGTATTTAAAAGTGTGCTATTTTCAGAATGTTTTATGCTTCCTGTTTATCTACATGACACTGTCCCATTTGAAGATTTGGAGATACCAAAGAAGTTAAACTGGGGAGTCCTCTTAATACAAAATCTACTGTGCATAAATAGACTCCTGATCAAATGTTACTAATGTACCTAAGGCTCATGGTGAATTAATGATTTTTTTAAACAAAACCTTTAAAACAAAAATATATCAAGCAGTTTGCTTTTTCACAGAGAATAAAAGTAGCATGGACAGAGTCTGCTGTGCAAGCAGTTGCATTGTATCTGAGTGTTATTCACATGATTGTTTTGTGTTTATTTTATTGACTCTTTTTGCAGCTATGTATACAGATAATGATCCTCTTTTATACTCAATATTCTGTTTAACTTCTTGTGCCTGCAGAATGCTGAAATAGATTTTAATTTTATGGAAGAAGAAAATGCTCTTGTATTATATCTAAACTTCCCTTCATACACTACACTTTATCGGTTGTACTCGTTTTCAGTTGCTAGCATTTTAGCCCCAGTGATGGCAGGTGCATTCGACACAACTGGTACTTTTGGAATTGCATAGTTCTTGTATTAACAGAGTCTATAACAGCGTTCATTTCCCATTTCCAAACCCAGTCTGTCCTCTGACGTGGCACAGCACTAAAGGAACACAGAAAGTCATAACAAATACAATGTAAAAGGAAAAAAAAAAATCGTACCTTAGCTTCTGACCAGCTGGCTCAGTGATCTTATTGAACTTGTCCATGTTCCGTGTTGATAGTATCAGGTAAACTAGTGACCATTTAATGAGAACATGTGCTGTTTCCTATGATCGTAAGGAGTGCTATACCGAGCAGATAGAATCCCACGGGTTATCTCTGCCTGGTTTCTACGTTGTGAGAAGGAGAATACTCATTTATTATGAGACCTGAAAACTTGCCTGAGCGCATATTTGAGGTTCATGTTTCTAGTTCATCATGTGACACACACAGCCAGCCAGGCGGCTTGCTTTGACTCCTGAATGCTATGCAAACTTGATGACCGACACCTATTGGGCGGGCAAATTCCCCTGAAATTGAATGTGTCTCAAGTCTCTCTATTACTTCCTCTTTGTGTCTTACATGCAGCTGGTGTTTTAATCAGATGGCATGACTGGAAAATATAACACTTACACCACAGACGCCTATTCTCTAGCTACTTCCTGGTAGCAGAAAAGTGCAGGAGAGCTATCGGAAGGAATGATCCTGTTCAGTGTCCTGAGAAATTATCTATGTGCTGCTGCTTCGGTTTGGCATCATTGTAGCTTCCTTTCATGACTCTACTCCAAACAGCCTAGAGATATGTCTGAAACTATTTCCCCCCTTTCAGGAGAAGGTGGTGATGTTTCCAGAGTAGCCCGCAGCTGCTAACTGCTAAATTGGTGTTTCACAACTCCATTCCATTCCAAAACAATGCTAAGTGTCAACATCACCACAGACAAACAATGGAATTCAGAGTTGGGGCTGCCCTGTGAAGACTGATTGCAGCAACATGGTTGTTAAAAGCTCAGAGAAGTGGGGAGGATCTTACTAGGAGGTATAATGGGAAGGAAAGTGTTGTCTACCCTGGAAGACTCCTAAGTGACTGGAGGACTAGAGGCAAGAGACTGGAAATTAAACAGTTACCTTTGGGAAAGGGAATTTTAGGGTATGTCTACATTACAAGCGCTACAGTGGCACGGCTGTGGCGCTGCAGCGGAGACACTTGCTACAGCGACAAAGGGGTTATTCCTTTACTGTAGTAAATCCACCCCCTTGACAGGTGGTAGCTAGGTCAATGGAAGAATTCTTCCATTAACCTAGCAGCCTCTACATCAAGGGTTTGGTCAGTTTAACTACGTCTCTCAGGGGTAGGGTGGCCATATGTCCCATTTTGGCCAGGACAGTCCCATTTTAAAGCCCTATTCTGGACATAGGGTGACCAGATGTCCCGATTTTATAGGGACATTCCTGATATTTGGGGCTTTTTCTTATATAGGCTCCTATTACCCCGCAGCCCCATCCCGATTTTTTCACACTTGCTGTCTGCTCATCCTACCCGGACATCCCAACTTTTTTTTGACAGAACTGGGCATTTGTCCCATTTTCTCTTGCCAACTGATGATCAGCTGGCAAAACCAAACAGGACAAACGCCCAGTTTTGCCAAAAAAAAGTGAGGCATGCCCCCTAGTGGGGTGCAGGGGAACGTTCAAGGGGGTGAGCAGCAATACCAGTCTTCTCAGGGAGAGGTGGAGAGGGGCTGGGACAAGTGGCATGAGCCAGCCTCATGTGGGCTTGGTCAAGCAGCTCAGGCCAGCCCCATCCAGGGGGCTGGGAGGGGAGATGCTCGGCACTGCCAGCTTTGTGCAAAGGGGGGGCTTGGGCAAGCAGCAATGCCAGCCCTGCATGGGGTGTGGGGTGGAGAGACTTGGGCTAGCCCTCTGCGCTGTCCCATTTTCACTTAGGTGGACTTAAGTTTTAGGTGCTGACCTGAGTCAAACTGTTTAAAACACCATTTCAGTACATAATGATTGTTTGGAGGAAAAGGTGACCTCGCGTGGGAGAAGTTGTGACTATTTAACTAGAGGTGGGATGTTACAATGATTTAATTAAACTGAGGAAACTCTGATTTAGCACTCTTAAACCAGATGGGGCAGGATAAACCTCTGTAAACCAGAGTTAGCCTGTTTGAGGCTTGAGCTATACTGAAAAATTATATTGGCATAGCTACACAGGTAAGGGCTGTGAAAAAAACACCTCCTTGATCGACATACCTATGCTGACAAAAGCCCTGGTGCAGATGCAGCTATGTTGAGGCGGTTTTTCTACACTGACAGAAAAATTCCTTCTGTCACTGTAAGCTGTGTCTACACTATAAGGGCTATGCTGAGTATGGTCTCCGAGGGTAGATATATCTGTAGTGGTCATACAGAAAGTTGCACTGGATTAATTGAATTGATGCAACATCACACCTTTAATTAAATCACCACTACTTCTGTAGACTAGCCTATTGCCTTTTTAATTATTTTTATTATTTGTATGACCACAGTGCATAGGTCGGAGCTCTAGTCATGCACGGGGACTCCATTGTGCTAGATGCTGTACAAACACAGAACAAAGAGAGACCATCTCTGCCCCAAAGAGCTTATAATTTGTATTAAAGATCCAGCCTCCCCATCCCTTTTATGGAGGTGAGAGAGCTCTTAACGAATATCTCTGAGGATGCCCTTCACCCTCCCAAAAGCTTCTCTAACAAAACCAGGGAAGGTTCAACTTGATATTCCTGATATTTCTAGGTAAACAACAAACAAACAAACAAAACCTCTTGCTTCTTTATGATGCATAAACAGGGTTACTCCAATGCTAGACCCAGGCTGGTCTATCCTAGTGTGGCTTTGGTATGTCTGTGAGAGTGTAACTTTTTGCATAGCCTTGGACACAATAATTGGTTTGCCTATTTATATGATTCATAGATTCCAAGCCAAGAAGGGATTATCTAGTCATATCTCTTGAGTAGAACAGGCCATAGAACTTCCCCAAAATAATTCCTAGAGCAAATCTTTTACAAAAACATTCAGTCTTGATTTAAAAATTGTCAGTGATGGAGACTCCACCATGGCACTTGGTAAATTGTTCCAATGGTTAATTAGTCTCAACGTTAAAAATGTATGCCTTATTAGGATTTGTCTGGCTTCAACTTCCATCCATTGGGTCATGTTATACCTTTTTCTGTTAGATTGAAGAGCCCATTATTAAATATTTATTCCCCATGTAGCTACTTACAGACTGTAATCAATTCACCTCTTAATCTTCTCTATTTTAAATTAAATTGAGCTTTTTGAGTCTATCTCCATAAGGGATATTTTCTAATCCTTTAATTGTTTTCTTGGCTCTTTGCTGAACCCTCTCCAATTTATCAACATCCTTCTTGAATTGTGGGCACCAGCACTAGACTCAGTATTCCAGCAGCAGTTGCCAAATAAAGAGGTAAAATAACCTCTCTCCTTCTACCTGAGATTCCCCTGTTTATGCATCCCAGGATCCCATTAGCCCTTTTGACAACAGCGTTGCACTGGGAGCTCGTGTTCAGATTTTCCACCACGACCCCCAAATCCCTTTTAGAATCACTGCTTCTGAGGGTAGAATCCCCCATCCTGTAAGTATGGCCTACATTCTTTGTTCCTAGATATATACACTTACATTTAGCCATATTACAACACACAGTGTTTGCTTTCACCCAGTTTACCAAGCGATCTAAATCACTCTGAATCAGTGACCTGTCCTCGACATTATTTACCATTCTCCCAATTTTGCATAATTTGTAAACTTCATCAGTGATGATTATATGTTTTTCTTCAAGGTCCTTGATAAAAATGTTAAGTAGTGTACAATGCCTATGGGTCTCTACTGGAAACGTGCCCACTTGATGATGATGATTCCCTGTTTACAATCACATTTTGAGACCTAGCAGTTAGCCAGCTCTTAATCCATTTAATGTGTGCCATGTTAATTTTATGTCATTCTAGATTTTGAATCAAAATGTCATCCATTACCAAGTCAAACACTATACAGAGGTCTAAGTATATTATATCTACACTATTATTTACCAAACTTGTAATCTCATAAAAAAATCAAGTTAGACAGGATCTATTTTCCATAAACCCATTTGATTTGTATTAATTACATTACCCTCCTTTGATTCTTTATTAATCAAGTCCTGTATCAGCCACTCCATTATCTTGCCTGGAATCGATTTCAGGCTGACAGGCCTATAATTACCCTGGTCATACTTTTTACCCTTTTAAAAAATTGGCATAACATTAGTGTTCTTCCAGTCTTCTGGAACTTCCCCAGTGTTTCAAGACTTATTGAAAATCAACATTAATGGATTAAAGCCCTGGCTCCTGGAGTAATATTATAAGGTGAGAATCTCAGTTTTCACTGGAAAATGTGAACCAAGCCATACCCTAAAAGTTTAGAAACTAGAAGATAAATAAAAAGAACTCCCAATTTATTACTTTGAAAAATCTCATGATTTTTAAGCCAGTATTGTGATTTCTGAATGCTTGGGGTTGACAGTACTGCCACAGGGAATACCAAGGAATCATGCACTGCTCTGTTTCAGGAAGAAACTAATTTACACATTGCATTAATGCTCTTATTTACACTCTACTTACTTTACAGCTTCAATATAGTTTTAACTAAGAATCTTGGTTAGGAATAGGTGATTAGAATATGATTCAGGTTTCAATTATATTCATAATTGGAACCTGACATTCTCCTTCTTCACCATGCTAGAAACCCCCCTTTTAAAATTGATTTCAGTTAGTGCTGTTTTATCCCCAACATGAACAAAGCATATTGTGTCTAAAATGGTTTACAGAAATATTCAAGAATCAGTTTTTGCCTATTTGTGAAAATGATTTTCAAAAAATGTGTTAGCCACACTATGCCCTGCCCACACTAAAGGTGTAACTGTGCTACCAGAGAGAGTTTTAAAATTGATTTAATGCACAATCTGTTTTGTGGTATATTTTGCTTATTAGTGAACTTCCCCACTCCTGTGCCAAAACAGATGATGATGAAGATTTTAGTTTTAAGGAATGCTTCATGATTTTTTTGCTTGGCAAGTAATTTTTGTTTGGCTTCTTCTCTAGGAAACGTTGACTGGAGTGCAACAAAGCTCTTCCAGCCAACACCCAAAAGAATTGTATATAGGTCACATGACTCAGTCTGAGTCTATTAGCATGTTTCCTGAGAGACATCACTATTTCCTGCAGTGCGGCTTAGACTTTTACTGCGCTGTAGCAGTGTCCACATGGCAAATTAGTATGCAGCAAGCTGGTGTGCTGTAGATTCACACCCTGGCTT